TTCAGTATGATGTTGGCTGTGGGTTTTTCATATATGGCCTTTATTATGTTGAGGTACTTTCCCTCTATACCCATTTTGCTGAGTTTTTTTTATCTTGAATGGATGTTGAATTTTGTAGAATGCTCTTTCTGCGTCTATGGAGATAATCATGTGATTTTTGTCCTTCTTTTTGTTTATGTAGTGGATGATGTTGATGAATTTTTGAATGTTGTACCATCTTTGCATCCCTGAGATGAATTCCACTTGATCATGGTGTATGATCCTCTTGCTGTATTTTTGAATTCTGTTTGCTAATATTTTGTTGAGTATTTTTGCATCTATGATCATCAAGGATATTGGTCTGTAATTTTCTTTTTAGGTGGGGTCTTTGCCTGGTTTTGGTATTAGGGTGATGCTGGCTTCACAGAATGAGTCTGGAAGTATTCCCTCTTCTTCCAGTTTTTGGAAACCTTTGGGGAGAATGGGTATTATGTCTTCTCTGTATGTCTGATAAAACTGCGCGATCAATTTATATGGCCCAGGAGTTTTTGGCTCTTGAGTAGTTTTTTGATTACCAATTCAATTTCTTTGCTGGTAATAGTTTTGTTTAGATTTTCTGTTTCTTCCTTGGTCAGTCTTGGAAGGTTGTGTTTTTCTAGGAAGTTGTCTATTTCTTCTAGGTTTTCCAGTTTGTTGGCATGTAGTTTTATGCAGTATTCTCTAATAATTCTTTGTATTCCTGTGGGGTCTGTCATGATTTTTTCCTTTCTCATTTCTGATTCTGTTGATGTGTGTAGATTCTCTTTTTCTTTTTAGAAGTCTGGCTAGGGGCTTATCTGTTTTGTTTATTTTCTTAAAGAACCAGCTCTTGGTTTCATTGATTTTTTCTATTGTTTCATTCTTCTCAATTTTATTTATTTCTTCTCTGATCTTTGTTATGTCTCTCCTTCTGCTGACTTCAGGCCTCATTTGTTCCTTTTTTTCCAATTTCGATAATTGTGTCTTTAGACTATTCATTTGGGATTGTTCTTCCTTCTTTAAATATGCCTCGATTGCTATATACTTTCCTCTTAAGACTGTTTTTGCTGTATCCCACAGTAGTTGGGGCTTTGTGTTGTTGTTGTCGTTTGTTTCCATATATTGCTGGATCTCCATTTTGATTTGCTCATTGATCCATTGATTATTTAGGACTGTGTTGTTAAGCTTCCATGTGTTTGTGAGCCTTTTTGCTTTCTTTGTACAGTTTATTTCTAGTTTTATGCCTTTGTGGTCTGAAAAGTTGGTTGGTAGGATTTCAGTCTTTTTGAATTTACTGAGGCTCTTTTTGTGGCCTAGTATGTGGTCTATTCTGGAGAATGTTCCATGTGCACTTGAGAAGAACGTGTATCCTGTTGCTTTTGGATGTAGAGTTTTGTAGATGCCTATTAGGTCCATCTGTTCTAGTGTGTTGTTCAGTGCCTCTGTGTCCTTACTTATTTTCTGTCTGGTGGATCTGTCCTTTGGAGTGAGTGGTGTGTTGAAGTCTCACAGAATGAATGCATTGCATTCTATTTCCTCCTTTAATTTTGTTAGTATTTGTTTCACATATGTTGGTGCTCCTGTATTCAGTGCATATATATTTATAATGGTTATGTCCTCTTGTTGCATTGACCCCTTTATCATTATATAATGTCCTTCTTTATTTCTTGTTACTTTCTTTGTTTTGAAGTCTGTTTTGTCTGATACTAGTACTGCAACACCTGCTTTTTTCTCCTTGTTGTTTGCAAGAAACATCTTTTTCCATCCCTTGACTTTTAGTCTCTGCATGTCTTTGGGTTTTAGGTGAGTCTCTTGTAAGCAGCATATAGATGGGTCTTGCTTTTTTATCCATTCTATTACTCTGTGTCTTTTGATTGGTGCATTCAGTCCATTTACATTTAGGGTGATTATTGAAAGATATGTACTTATTGCCATTGCAGGCTTTAGGTTCGTGGTTACCAAAGGTTCAAGTTTAGCTTCTTTACTATCTTACAGTCTAACTTAACTCGCTTATAGAACAATTATAAACACAGTCTGATTATTCTTTATTTCTCTCCCTTCTTATTCCTCCTCCTCCATTCTTTATATGTTGGTTGTTTTATTCTGTGCTGTTTCATGTTTCTTTTGACTGTTTTTGCGGGTAATTGATTTTATTTTTTGCCTTCTGTTATTATTTGACTGTTCCACTTTCTTTGCTGTGATTTATTTTCTTTGGTGACATCTGTTTAGCCTTAGGAGTGCTTCCATGTAGAGCAGTCCCTCTAAAATAACCTGTAGAGGTGTTTTCTCAGAGGCAGATTCCCACAACTTTTGCTTGTCTGGGAATTGTTTAATCCCTCCTTCATATTTAAATGGTAATCGTGCTAGATACAGTATCCTTGGTTCAAGGCCCTTTTGTTTCGTTGCATTAAATATATGCCATCGTCTTCTGGCATGTAAGGTTTCTGTTGAGAAGTCTGATGATAACCTGATGGTTTTTCCTTTGTAGGTGACCTTTTTTCTCTCTCTGGCTGCCTTTAATACTCTGTCCTTGTCTTTGATCTTTGCCATTTTAGTTATTATGTGTCTTAGTGTTGTCCTCCATGGGTCCCTTGTGTTGGGAGTTCTGTGTGCTTCTCTGGTCTGAGGGACTATTTTGTTCCCCATTCTGAGGAAGTTTTGAGCAATTATTTCTTCAAAGACACTTTCTATCCCTTTTTCTCTCTCTTCTTCTTCTGGTACCCCTATAATGCGGATATTGTTCTGTTTCGATTGGTCACATAGTTCTCTTAATATTCTTTCCTTCCTGGAGATCCTTTTATCTTTCTCTGCATCAGATTCTCTGTGCTCCTGTTCTTTGATTCATATTCCATCAATGGCCTCTTTCATCTTGTCCATTCTACTTTGAAGTCCTTCCAGAGATTGTTTGATTTCTGTATTCTCCCTCCTTAGTTCTTGCATATTTCTCTGCAATTCCATCAGCATGGTTATGACCTTTATTTTGAATTCTTTTTCAGGATGATTGGTTATGCACATCTCCCCAGGTTCCCTCTCAGTGGAGGATGTCTGTGTGATTGCGGTCTGAATCAAATTCTTCTGCCTTTTTATGGTGATGGGCAGATGTCGCATGTGTCAACTAGAAGAACAAAATCCCTTCTTGTTTGCTCCTTGCATTCGTCTCCTGCGAGAACAGCGACCCGTAGCAGCTTGTGTTGGGCATTTGCGTACAGATGGGGTCTCTGTTTCTTGCCCTGGCTGCTGTGGAGCTCCACGCAGCTGCTGTAGACATGGCTGGCCTCAGGCTGCTGCTCCACTATGGCAGCCGCGCCGGACGGGGAACTGGCTGGAGGCTGTTCATCACCATGAGGGGCCTCAGCTGCCCTACCACCTTGGGTGTTAGGCCACCTGGAGTTCCCCGGGATTCCCAGCTGATGGGCTGAGTGCTCTGGGATGCTTCTGTCCAGCTTTGAGGCCCCTGTCCCTTTAAGACTTTCAAAATGCACTTGCTTTTCTTTTATCCCAGGGGTGGTGGCTACGTGGACCCGCTCGCAGATTTTACTGTCCTATGTCCATAGTATCCAGCACATCACACACTGTGTGTCTGTGCTCCCAGTGCAGATGTCTAGGGCTGAATATTTAGCAGTCCTGGGCTCCCTCTCCCTCCCCGCTCCAACTCCTCTCCTCCCGCTGGGAAGCTGGGGTGGGGGTGTCGCTCGGATCCCACTGGGCTGCGGCTTGTATCTTACCCCCATCGCGAGGTGCTGGATTCTTGCAGATGTAGATGTAGCCTGGCCGTTGTCCTGTATCTTCTGGTCTCTCTTTTAGGAATAGTTGTATTTGTTGTATTTTCAAAAATATATGTTTTTGGGAGGAGATTTTCACTGGCTTACTCATGCTGCCATCTTGGCTCCTCCATATTTTGTAATTTTTTATCATATAGTGTTTATTAGAGTATCATAGCAACTGTTGTACATGCTATTTTTTCTCAATTCTGTATTAGAAAGAAATGACTAATTGCTAATCACCTCAATTCTACCATAAATTGAGCTGGGTGGTTTGAATGACAGGTTTAGATCCATTTAGTCTATCTCTGATTTTAAATGTCTAAGGGCAAGACCTGTTCTGTTGCAGGTATTTCTCTCTGGTGTGACTTTGTACTTGTACACTGTGAAATTTGGGAGATTTTACTCTACCTTTTGAACTCTTCCTGCTTTTACTCATCCCCTCTGTCAAGATAGGGGTGCTTTTTGTTGAGAGCAAGTGTCTTCAGAAGAGGCCTGTTGAAATTCTACACCGAAAGCAATAAGTTCCACCTGTTATATTGTACTCCTAATCACCACAACACTACTGAAAACGTTATTTGTCCTCTCGCCCATTCTTTCCTCCTCCCTGCAAATCCTCTTGTGCAATCCCAGCCCTCAGCACATCTCCCAGGAGAAAATGGTTTGTGTTTTGGGGGTTCCATAGGATCCCAATCTGTCATGCCAGCCCATGAACCAGGAACATACCAGGTTCTCTTCCCTAGTGGTACCCCTCTTTCTAATTTCTAGTTCATGTGTAGATGACAAATCCTTTCAGAAATGAAAACAATTATAAGGCTAAGCTTACCTAAGATGAGATACCACTCTTTCCTAGTTTATGCTTTTTGCTCCCATTGCTTTCCAATATCTTTAAAAACATGATTTTGGTGGATAATTTATCTTTTATTTTCCTAGTTGTGGAAGCAGTGGCTTGCCACTATGTTCTAGTAAATGAGTCTTATAAGAATAAAATTTGGACCTAAATGTCTAGTCTTTTAGATAGTGTTATTTATATAAAGTCTGTATGCTTATATTGGTGGCTTGTTATTGAATATGAATATTAGTTACTAAATCTGCCAGGCTCAGAAATTGATCAGTATTGATGTTTGGAAACACCCTATCTGGAGAGCCAATTTTAATTTAAAAATTCCTTTTGGTTAGTAGTATTTTAATGAAATGTGAACAAAAAGTTAATTTATTTTTCTTTCTCCCTTTCCTGTTTAGTGAGTGATAGTTGCTTCAGGAATCTTGCAGAAGATCGCAGTGGGATAAATCTAAAAGATCTCATACAAGATCCTTCTTTGTGAGTATTTGATTTTCAGTACTAGGTATAATTTAAAAGTATATGGTTGGTGTGCCTTTTTTCAAAAGAGTTTTACTGAGAATTTAAATGTGAATTTTTTTTCTAATAAGTATTACATATAGTGAAGCACATAGAACAGTTTTAACAGAAGTGAAGCTATGGAACCATTTCTTTGAGACAAAGAGGTAGTGTTATGATTAATGATTGAATTCCAAGGAGTCCCTACTAATGGTGATGTCTTGCCAATGTGACAGTAGACAGGGGAGATGATTATTTGCATGAGAAGGTGAGACTGAATTTGTTCACATCAATTTTAAGCTTTTTTGAATAATATAATTATTATAAAAATGACTACATACATAAAATCACTATAATAATATATTTGAATATATTGCATATATTTTTAATGTTTTATATTAGAAAACTGCATATAGCACAAAATTTTTGAAGAGCTTTATAGTTCTCAATTTTAACATTCTTGCTCATGAGTCAATCCCTTTCTTTATCAGCATGTACTTTACTATAATGTCATTTTTAATTTCTATTTCAAAAATTAATTAAGGTTTTTGCTTTTTTATATTTACTACAAATTATGTGTTCTGTATCCAGTATGAACATACTCTCACACTAAGATCACCTTTTATTTAAAACAAACAAACAAACATTTGAGACTAGTTAAGCCCTGGGCAGCAGACAAAAGAAAATTGAGTGCTGATAGGTACTTTCTTTCTTTAATGATACATGATGCATATAGAAAACTATATTATATGGCCATCCTGCCCAAAGCAATTTACAATGCAGTGCAATCCCCATCAAAATAACAATGGCATTTTTCAATGAATTGTAGTAAATAATCCTAAAATTTACAAAGAACCATAAAAGACCCTGAATAGCCAAAACAGTCTGGAGAAGAACAAAGCTGGGGACATCATGCTGTCTGGTTTGAAGCTATACTACAAAGCTACACTGATTAAAACAGTATGGTACTTGAACAAGAATAGACACATAGAACAATGGAACAGAACAGAGAGCCCAGAGGTAAAACCACACATACATAGGCAATTAATGTATGACAAATGAGGCAAAAATATAAATTGGGGAAAAGACAGTCTCTTCAATAAATTGGGAAAACTGGACTGCTATATGCAAGAGAATGAAACTGGATCACTGTCTAACACCATAAGCAAAAGTAAACTCAAAATGGATTAAAGCCCTATATATAAGAAGAAGACATAGGCAGAAATCTCATGAATACTGGCATGAGTAATTTTCTTCTGGACATGTCTCTCCAGGCAAGGGAACAAAAGCAAAAGTAAACAAGTGGGATCATATCAATCTAAAAAGCTTCTACAAAAAGGCAGCCTACAGAATGGGAGAATATATTCATCAATGATATATCCAATAAGGGATTAACATTCAAAATATATAAAGAACTCATATGCCTCAACACCAGAAAGACAAATAACCCAATTGAAAAAATGAGAGGAGGACCTGAAAACACATTTTTACAAAGAAGATACACAGATGGCCAAGAGGCACAGGAAAAGATGCTCCACATCACTAATCATCAGGGAAATTCAAATCAAAACCACAACAAGATATCACCTCACACCAGTCAGAATGGCCGCTACCCAAAGGACAAGAAGTAACAAGTGCTGATGAGATGTGGAGAAAAGGGAACCCTCTTAAACAGCATATACATTGGTGCAGCACTATGGAAAGCAGTATGGTGGTTCCTCAGAAAACTAAATAGAAATACTGTATGACCCAGTAACTGCATTTCAAATAATTTACCCAGAAGAAACAAAATTTCTGATTTGAAAATATATGCACTCCTGTGTTTGTTGCTGCATTATTTATAATAGCCAAGATACGGAAGCAACCTAAGTGTCCATCATTGGTGAATGGATAAAGAAGATATAGTACATATATCCAATTGAATATTATTCAGCCACAAAAAAGAAATTTTGCCATTTGCAGGACCATTTGTGGACCTAGAGGGTATTATGCTAAGACAGAAATAAGCCAGAGAAAGATAAATACCATGTGATTTCACTTATATGTGGAACCTAAATAAAACAAAACAAATTGAACAAAACAGTAATAGACTCATATACACTGAGAAGTGACTGGTGGTTATCATGGGGAAGAGTTTGGGATGGGTGGGAGGAATAGGTGAAGGGGATAAAGAGACACAAAATCTCAATCATATATAAATTAGTTGCTGACTTGAAAGTAGATCATAGAGAACACAGGAAATAGTTTTGTAACATCGTTCTATGTTGACACTAGCTTCACCACCTGGCGTGAGCATTTAATAAGGTAGAGTACTGTCAAATCACTATGTTGATACCTGCAACCAATATTGTGTATCAACTGTACTTCCATTGAAGTAATTTTTAAAAAACTGTATTATAATGGGATATGAGTCTTCCACATAACATGTATCCTACACTCCCACAAGTTTTGCTAGTAATCTGCTGAAAATTTTGTGAGGAAGAAAAAACAAGAATGTATTGAACCTGAAGGTTATTGATTCCTTAATGATTTTTCCAGCATTTTAAAAAGATGCAGTCCAAAGACACAGAATGCTGAAAAAGATTGAATATTGAGGTTTATAATGTAATGAGTTCAAAATGAGTTTCAAATCCAACTGTCTAAATTTTTTTCTCACTCTGTCTCTCTTTTCCTTACACAAAAGGGTTGTCAGTATTCTTTCTACATGAGTTTTATTCCAATGAAGGATGACAGTTGTCCTTTTAGTCCTATAAATATTTAATCAAGAATATAATCATTTTATGTGAATGTAAACGTTTATAGTAAATAAATTAAATAACATTTATTTGCATTAAGAGTTGTATTTTCCTTATGGATGTGGAAGGAAACTTTGTAATTTCTTTGAAAGATTTTATCCATTTGAATGAATAAAATTTATTATATCATTTGTAAGGTTATTTTTGTTATAGTAGGATTAAATATGTTTAATGCAGTCTTTGTTGAAAAAATATGTTCATACAGACTTTTATAATATAAAAGCTGTGGAGAATTGTGGTTGAATAATGGATTATAATACTGAGTTGTAGTGTTTCGAGGGAACGTAGTACAGGAGTGCCTCATTTAATAATGCTTCACATTACTGGGGTTTGCAGATACTGTGGTTTTTACAAATAGAAGGTTTATGGCAACCTTACATCAAGTAAGGCTATTGGCACCACTTGTCCAAAAGCATTTGCTCACTTTGTGTTTCTTGTCATATTTTTGTAATTCTCACAATATTTTAAACCTTTAATTTCACTATTGTTATATTTGTTATAGTGATCTGTGATCAGTGATCTTTGATGTTACTATTGTAATTATTTTGTGTGCCACGACCCTCACATGTATGAGAAGGTGAACAGTATCAATAAATATTTGTGTTCTGAATGCTCCAGTTATTCTCCATTCCCTGTATCTTTCCCTCTCCTAGGACCTTCCTATTCCTTAAGACACAACAATATTGAAATTAGGCCAATTATTAACCCTTCAATGACCTCTAAAGTATTCCGGTGAAAGGAAGAGTCAAACCATGTGGCATACTTAATTGTTGTCTTATTTAAGAAATTGTAACAGCCACCCCAGCCTTCAGCAACCACCACTCTGATCAGTGCAGCCACCAGCATTGAGTCAAGACCCTCTACCAACAAAAGATCACACACACTGAAAGCTCAGATGATAGTTAGCATATTTTAGCAATAAAGTATTTTTTTAAATTAAGGTATGTACCATTTTTTAGACTTGCTATTGCATACTTAATAGACTACAGTACAATATCAACACAACTTTTATATGCACCAAGAAAACCTAAAATTCATTTGACACATTGCAGTAATACTCACTTTATTGCAGTGATCTGAAACTGGGCTCACAATAGTATGACTGTACATCTTCCCAGCATGTAGAATAATATTCACCATAAAGCACATCACTGAAATTGGAAAATATTTAATCTCCATTTGCAACAACACAGATGGATCTAGACAGTATTATGCTCAATGAAATAAGCCAAGCAGAGAAACACACATGCCATATGATTTCACTTACTGGTGGAATATAATAACAAAACAAAACAGAAAGAACAAAACAGCAGTAGACTCACAGACACTGAGAAGTGACTAGTGGTTACCAAGTGGAAGGGATTAGGGCAGGTGGGGGAGAGGGTGAGGGGGATAAAGGGGAACAGTAATTCTCAGTCACAATATAAGTTGGTCAAGGGATGGTAGGACAGCATGGAGAATACAGTCATTCTGTAACATATTTCAATGTTCATAGTAACTGCACTAGAGGGGGTGAGGATTTAAATATGGGTAACTGTTGATTTGAAACCAACATAAGATTGTATATCAATACTTCAATAAAAAATTCACAATAATGAAAAACCACAAAAAAAATTTAGTATTCTAAGAGAAATTAGATAACTGCTGCATTGGATGGACAAAGTAATTCTGAGTCTGTTTTAAAGTAGCCAGGTATCTTAATTTAGCATCATTCTTTTAACTTGGCATTTGTCTCTTGGCATTAGTCTAGAATGGAAGATTTTAGTGAGAAAGATGAGTTCCCCAGACTAATGTAAGGGTTGCTAAAATTGCATACATATGTTATTTTAATGTTACAAAACATTATTAGAATAACGTATGTGTATCGAATGGATCTTTATGTGTTAATATGTATGGCAGAATTATGATCCACCTACTTGAACTGGTGATTCTGAAAAGAGTTAATGTGTGAAGAAAAATTTAAGTATTTCAATCAGTAATGCTATTAGAAAGGAAGACAGAATAAAGAGAAGGAAAAAATGGGCTGAGAAGAACCCAGGTGCTCTGGTCAATGCTGACACTCAGATCAGTGTGCAGTATGTCTAACTTACTTAAATGAGCAGGTACAGAATTTCTGTGGACAACATGCAGAAACAAAATTGAATCAAGTGTGTGTGAGTGAGTGTGTGTGTGTGTGTGTGTGTGTGT